GGGATGAGAGAGGGAAGAATGGGAGTATTCGATGAATGAGGAGTGGGAGAAGTGGGAGGAGTGGAAGTTGTAGGAAGGATTAGGATAAGTCCAGTTGTATGAAGAGTTAGAGGAGTGTGGCAAGTGAAGCGGACGAGAGAGAGAGAGAGAGAGAGATTGGCATGGGCTGTAGTGTGGAATGCCCTTTGAAAGCAGACCGTTGATATTGCTAGCGCCTGTACCGCTGCTGATTAATCTCGTGAGGCTTAATCAAACGGACCAAATGCGGCACGGACTTCTTCGTCTGCCTTTTGCTTTGTCCATCCCTAATGCTTTCCCACCGGCCACACCGAGAGCCCCACCTCTAATCTGCCTGCCCAGCTTCCCTCCAGCCTCCCTCTCGTCCGCCATACCAACGATAGTGCCAACAGCACCCATCCCTCATCTCTCCCTCATACTCCCACCATCACTCCAACCATCAGCAACACAACGGCCATTGTGCCTCGTGACGTGGACACCACTCATTTCGCCATTCTCCAAGTCTATGGAATGCCCTGTTCTGCAATCAAGCAAATGGCGTAAACTTGTTTATCAACCGGTGCTTACGACCAATAGGCGTCGATTGATAGACATCCATCACCCTATCAATCCCTCGGTAAGTGGGTCCTTTTGTCTGCTTGCCCAGTTGGCCATAATATCTCATCTGGCCAGCGGAATTTCCATTAGTTTGCTCAATTCGGCCAAGGCTACCACAAAACCCCGGTATTGGTTACCGGACGAAGCGACCGGCCGTGACAGACCAGTGCGAATCACTGCCTCGCCCGGTCCGCAACCCGGTCCATGGGCTGGCCCCCTCGCCATGGGCCTTGACAAAAGGACTCAAACGCCGCATCGCCTCATCCGAGCCGGCCCGACACCGACCCGCCTCCGGTCACGCAGGTCACGAGTTCGTGTAGCCTCGAGACAGCAGAAGACACGCCGGCCAGGTCGCCAACGGCTTCACACTGGGCTCGAGGCTAAAGTGGATTCCGATGTCAAGTGGGCCGTCTCCAGGCCAGCACCAGCTTTCATCTATCCACCTCTCACCTGTCTAGCTATCGCCCCGTCTCCCACCTCAGTATTCAATTTTTTTTCACATATTCCGGTTGAATATGTATTTTCTGTAGATTGATTCATTCAAAAATGCACAATTACTTTAACACATAAAAGCATACATACGTACATGCATGCATATGCACATGAATAGATTGTGGTGGGTGGGTTAGCATCGAAAAAAAGGAATTTTCGAGTGTCGAGCTGTCGAGTCAGAGGAGGCTCAGAGTGGGATGGAGAATGCTTTTGTGTCCGTGTGGGTTAATGAGACCGAGCATGGGCTCGTTTTGCGCACAACCATAGTCACTTGCTCGTGTCTAGCCCGGCCGGCAATGCTATGCCGCCTTCAACGGCCTGTCTGCGAGTCGCAGACACAGGGTTGCATGTTTTCCCCCTTACAGGTTGCCCGGCCGACTTGGCCGTTGGTGTTGTGTCCGTCTCTACTGTCTGTCGTCTGTACACAATGACAGACAGACATACAGACAGACAGACAGACAGACACAGGCACAGACTGACATTCGGACAAGCGGGATGGCACAACGACGAGGCTGAAATGAAACATTCCTTTCAGAAAGCCCATCAAAGAACCCTTTGTCCGTTTAGTAAAAACTCTAGCCTTCAAGCCGTAAAATGCCCATGATGAGACTCATTACGGAATTATTGATGATATAGGCAGAGGAAAAAAAGAAAAGAAAAAGTGGGATATGCATCAAAACAAGGATAAATCCAAAGATAAGAGGACGAGAGACTATCATATTCAGCTTGCCCTCGTGGGAGAGGCACATAAATATGCGGCTTCTAAGGCGATCTGACGAGTTCCTCCTCAAGTACAAGGGAATATACAAAAAAGTACACACGCACACACACACACATACATGCACAACACTTAAATATAAATATGTATAAACTACCCATTCCATATGCACGCCAGCATATAAGTGTATTAAAATAAAGGAGCTGATACAAATAATGGGATAGAATGCGAATTAGCCTGTGCCCCGTGTTAGTTTGAAAGAAAAAGAAGTGAACAAAGCAAATGTGTAAAGCAGCATTCTGGAGATTCGATTGCCGATGGAAATACGCCATGGGTTTCGGCATCATACAAAAACTCGCGAGACCGACCGTGATTGTGTATGTTAGAGACAGTGAAGCAAAATGGCCGAGCCCCTTTTTCCCTCGGTCAGCTGCGCTACAGAAGGAGACCGGAGAAGCGCAGCAATTGGTGAAAAGGACGGTGCGTGGGTCCCCACTCCTCCGGGGTTACCTGACCACTTGTCAAGTTCCCAACACGATTCTCCATAATCCGAAAAAGTGCCTTGTCAACCGGTGGGTCTTGAGATGTCGCCAACAGGTAGGCTCATTTACAGTCTAATCGAAGGTATGAAGACCAAGTTATGGTGGCAGTCTCCTTTCGATTTATAAAAGTGGGTTGACCTCGTTCTCGTAACTTGGTCTTGTTGTCCGGGCGACTTAGTAAAAGGCATCTTTTCGGAAGTCCTCTGCAAAAGACACAAGTCGAGTTGTATTTTGGTGGCCAGAATGGCAGGATTTACTCATGTTGCCGACTATGATGCCAGCGAAATGTCTGAGAATGTACCAAGTCCACTATGGCACTATGGCTAATATGGCAGACAACTTCGGACAAGGTGTGTTCTACTAATTTGCGACGGCAACAAGACCAAGTTGTGAAAACAGAGTCAACCCACTTCATCTACAGTCGGTTGCGAAGACTTTCAGTTCGCTGGAAAGTGCATGATGAGGAAATTAGTTGGTTGATCTGATCGGAAGACGACAGCAGATTTCTGTTGTTATGCCGTTGTCTTGCCTTTGATGCGACGTTCAGGTGGACGCGGTCCACGAAACATCTTCACTAATTCCGGATGAAACATGACTGAGCTGTCGTCCGTCATGACACTCGACAGGCATCATCAAAGCTACAAGGTCAGGAAGACTCGCCCATATGTTAACCCGTGCACACGAGCACACATACACAGATACACACATACTCAAGGTTAAGTACCCAGATTGCTGGTTGACCCGATTTTCGCAATTTGACCGAAGCGACGGGGGGACCTTGTGGAAGGTACCTAGTCCTGCGTCATCTGTCATAGTTGTCATGATGATTTTAACCATCGGATCGTTGACTTGGTAGATTCTCTGAATGTACCAAGTCAACGGTCCGATGGGGGAAATCATCATGAATACTGTGACAGAGGACACAGAACTAGGTAGCTTTCACAAGGTCTCTCCGTCGCTTCCACCAAATTGCGATAACCAAGTCCAGATCTACACAAACAAAGGAGACGGCGATTAATCACAAGGCCATACAATC